TGGCAAGAATATCCGAGAAAAACCGCGGGGATTTTTTTTAATTTCCATCCCAGAAGATTCTTGGCAAGACCGGGATCCGTATCTGGTTGCCCTCTATGTTAAGCTTTGTTTCTTCTTCATTGTTCATTCTGCATAACAGAATTATTAATGCAGCTCAACTCCCGCAGAAGATTCTGCGCTGATCCTTCGCTGTACGCTTCGATATTGGATACCCACGGTAGTACCAACCGGTGGAAACTAACGATTTTAAATTGGCTCACTACTTGAATAGCCTATTGGTCCCAAGCAAACGATTAACGTGCCCCATTCTAGTCGAAATTCTAGTACTACACTATGTTTGTTTTGATTCGATATGAAAATTTGACAGATGAAATGAGGGGTTCGTGGATTTTCCTATGTTTCGAGGGGTGCATCGATTAGCTTGGGACCGAAGAGAGTACCAGAGCTGAGCCAAAAGGTTGAGCACGTTTCTTCGGGACCTTCTGGTCTTAGAGTTACCTCTATGGTAGTACTAATTGTTTAGTTAAAAAAATAAGAAGCGTATTCTGGAATATGTGGTCTTTGGGTTAAGCATGTGGACGGCAATGTGGGCAGAGTTGGAAAAATTCACGAGTCATAGTGAGTTTTGGTGAACTTTTCCAATACTGAATGTGAGGATTCATCGAGCTGTTGTCCGTCTCGAATGAACTTAATTCTCCTCTACCAGGGGAACAGTTTAAAGAGACGTAAATAGACGGAAGCATCGAGCTGTAGATGCTCGATAGTCACCGTGCCAAGTATAAATCCGATCTTCGTAGCAACAGCATAAGTGTAGGCGTTCGACTATCCCCGTTGTATATTGATAGATATTAATGAACTTGTTTGTGTGTCCTTCCAAATGTATCATCAAAGGAAACCGTCTGGCACGAATGGTCACCAGAGGTAGCCCGATTCAGCCGTCTTGACTGCCGTATTGACAAGACACTCTTGACTGGCCATGGTGTGGATGAACTCGATTGAAGTGAGGCCCGAATAGTAGCTGTTTAGATGAGAGAAACACCAACCGCTGTGATTTTTGCTGTGATTCAGAAGATACGGACTTGGCTAGATCTGAAGAGATTCACGATTCAGATTTGTCGAACGATCCTCAAAATCGGTGGGTTGTTGTTTCACTAGTTTTAACAGTAGTAAATTCTCTCACTAGCTTTATTTTTGAGTAAACAAACTATTCAACCGAGTAGTAAACATTGGCAACGATTTGCAAAACGTCACCACTCAAAGTGTGCCTTAACGTACCGAACAGTTTGACATGCTGTGTTTAGACACAGTGTGCGGAGTTGATTACCCCTTGTGTTTGTTTGAACTTGCTCCTTTCTTGTGCTTTATGCTGCCACACTTTAATGGGAATTTTGCTCCTCTCCACGTCTTGTCGCATACACCTTTTCCAGGTGTATGCCGGTCTTCCAATTTTCTTGGGATCTGGTATTCTATACTTGAGTGCCGTTTTCAAAATTCCGCCTGGATCGCTCCTAATGATGTGCCCGTAGTAGTTGAGCCTTGATATTCTTATCTTGTTGTTTATCGTATACCCACTACTACTCCCTTGTGGACGCTCTTCGTGATGACTGTTCCAGAACGTGAGTGGATCATGGTCTTCCAATTTTCTTCATCTCCGGAATCCCATATCCTAAAGGGCTTTCCTGATAATCTGTTATGAAAATAAAATGATGTTCTATCCCTCTAGCATGGCGTTGTCTTCTTCAACACTTCATCGTCTTGATATAAGCCACTCGATCAAGCCAAATTCAAATGTAGTACACTCAAAATAATCTACACGTCAATGCTACGTGAAAAATCACGTAGATTCCAAAAAATGCTTTTTTACTCCAGTTTATCTGACAAAGGTAACTATCATCGAACTCTGGTTGTATATGAAATGAAGCGCCAGTTACTTTTACTGCAGTTGCCCCATCTCTCTTACGTGAAAATCACGTACTTTTTTAAATTCATTTTGCCAGCTGCATTCCGCGTTCATTCTGTGTACGAAGAATAAGCAAAATGGCGTATGTTGAAAACAAACTGCAAGAGCCGCTAGTTGATTTAAACATCACGCAACATTTGTTAGAAATATTTGATGGTAAGAACGGTTTAATGTGAGCTTGTATCCTATATTGATGTGTCTTTTTTTTCATTTGAATAGAATGTGGAGTCGATTTTGTCGATTTGCTCTGTATTGCGACTGATCAACCTCGCATCGCAAGTCTTTAGAATCTACTTCAATCCAAGCCACATCATCAGCCGTTCACAGTAAAACGGATGCGCTTGATGAACCCTCATCGGATGTTACCTGTAGGTCTGTGGAAACCAATGAAAGCAAACGCAAAACGTAAGTATACGTAAGTATATCCTATAGGAGTCCCAATTGAACACGGCGAATGAGAACGACCCAAATTTGAGTTTAGTTCACTCATAATCGCCAAAAGTGCAGGAACTCAGCGATGAGTAAAATTTGTCTCATGGTTTCCTGTGGAAAACCTAAAAAATCTGCCGGAAAATGAGGAAATTGACGAAAATTTTATTCAGTCTCGGAGTAGTACCAATAAACTGAGTGAATTCAATCTTTACTTTTCTCAAATTCGGGAATTTTTCCCTGGAAAATCCTGGAAAAACATGAGGAAAATTTACTCATCGCTGAGTTCCTGCACTTTTGGCGATTATGAGTGAACTAAACTCAAATTTGGGTCGTTCTCATTCGCCGTGAATGTTTAATAACGTCACTGGAGCCAGGATACCGTCTGCGACTTTCCGGTGAAGCAAATGTTGTTCGGTCCTCGGTTGTGTCGACTGAGATCACAAGAGGGAGTAATCTGGTCAATCAACGGATCTACCAGGTTTCCTCTAATGAGGCTGCAAACCTAAACGAACCAAACCATCCACTTCCTTCAACTTCCACGAATGATAAATCCGGTTACTTTGCCCAGGGCTTTGTCATAGTAATGTCGTCTGCTCATGTAAATCAACCAGGAACTGGTTATTCTGATGCCATCGGAACCACATCGTCAGCCACTGACAGTAATACGGATGCGCTCATTGTATCGTTAGCAGACGATACAATTCGGTCTTCAGAATCTGGAGACAGTTTGAACGGAGCAGAGCAAAATCAGCAGAAAAGTGCTCTTCCATCATTTAAACAGACCAATCCCAACAAATTCACCGAATCCTCTTTGACCGCTTTAGCAATAACGGTTTCACATCATGAGAGCAATGTTTTTACAACAAACTCCTTAGAAGAGTTGCTGAGATACTCCGAAGAAGGAAAGGAAATTGACCATTTCTCTTCGGTGGTTCCGGATATCTACAGGGCCCCACTCGGTTGCAGAATCGATATGCAGATGGCATATTTCTTCTATGCTCATGATTGTTCCCAATTTAGAAAAAAATCGCGGGTCTCTAAGTCTACTTTCAGGAATTGACCATTTTGCCGGTGATTCCGGATATCCATAGGCCCGTTTTCTGACCATTCGGTAGCAGAATCGATATGGTGATGGAATATTTCTTCTATGCTCATGATTGTACGCGATTTAAACAAAAAATCGTGGATCTCTAGATCTACTTTCAGGAATTGACCATTTCTTCGGTGATTCCGGATATCTACAGGGCCCCACTCGGTTGCAGAATCGATATGCAGATGGCATATTTCTTCTATGCTCATGATTGTTCGCAATTTAGAAAAAAATCGCGGATCTCTAAGTCTACTTTCAGGAATGGACCATTTTGCCGGTGATTCCGGATGTCCAGAAGACCATTTTTTGGCCACTCGGTTGCAAAATCGATATGCAGATGGCATATATCCTCTATGCTCATGATTGTTCGCAATTTAGAAAAAAAAATCGCGGATCTCTAGGTCTACTTTCAGGAGTTGACAATTTTCCCGGTAATTCCAGATATCCAGCGGACCGTTTTCTGGCCACCCGGTAGCAGAATCAAATATGCTGATGGAATAGTTTTTCTAAGCTCATGATTGTTCGCAATTTAGAAAAAAATCCCGGATCTCTAAGTCTACTTTCAGGAATGGACCATTTTGCCGGTGATTCCCGTTATCCACAGGACCGTTTTCTGAACACCCGGTAGCAGAATCGTTATGGTGATGGAATATTTCTTCTATGCTCATGATTGCATGCAATTTAGAAAAAAATCGCGGATCTCTAAGTCTACTTTTAGGAATTTACCATTTTGCCGGTGATTCCGGATATCCACAGGAGCGTTTTCTGACCACCCGCTAGCAGAATCGTTATGGTGATGGAATATTTTTTCTGTGCTCATGATTGTATGCAATTTAGAAAAAATCGCGGATCTCTAAGTCTACTTTCAGGAATTGTCCATTTCTTTGGAGGTTCCGGATATCTACAGGACCCCACTCGGTTGCAGAATCGATATGCAGATGGCATATTTCTTCTATGCTCATGATTGCTTGCAATTTAGAAAAAAATCGCGGACTTTCAGGAATGGACCATTTTCCCGATGATTCCGGATATCCACAGGACCCTTTTATGACCACCTGGTAGCAGAATCGAAATGGTGATGGCATATTTCTTCTATGCTCATGATTGTATGCAATTTAGAGAAAATCGTGGATATTCTGTCTCACGAAATTCTTTAGATAATTCTGCGTCCACCGGCAGTGTTGCTCTCCATACAAAGTGTCATTATTACAGCGATCGTACACGATGGTGCTTAAATACTTTCTTTTTCGGCATAGCACATCACTATAATACTGCCCGTAAAAGCATAACAGTCACATGTTTGTTTGAGTTCCTATTCAAATGGGACTGTTATGCGCTTACGGGTATGGATATCATTCCGCCCGAACACATGTGTAGTACTATTATGAGCTCGCCCACTCAATTGGAGCATCTTCCAAATTGCCACACATTCCGCGTACTGTTGTCGTTCGTTACCGACTCCCATCCATCCGACACCACCACCTTTAATAACCCCCCTCTTTCCCCTCCTCTACTTACGATCTTTAAACTCCTTGTCGCTGCTGTCACCGACCGGAATGACCACCAGCGGCAGGATCCCACTCAGTCCGATCAGTGCCGACCCGAGCAGCGAGAAGATCCACGGGGTGTACTCCATGGTTTTGAAGTACGCCGGCACATAGTTATCCATCATCTCCCGGTACAGGTAGACAAACGTTTCGTCCGTGAAGACGGTCGAGAGGTTCATCCTTTCTTCTTCTTCAACACTGACGCTAAAACGCGATTGTTCCTAGTTAAATTGTTGGAAGTCCGACCCAGCAGGACTCCGACACACACAGCAGCAGCAGCACTCTCGGTTAGCGAGTTCAGAATTATTCACCGCGGCGTTGATTATGACTTAGAGCGACACATTTCGCGCGAAAAGCACTTCACTTACTGGCCGCATCTGGAACGAATCGGAATCGAGAGAGAAGAAAAATAAAAACGGAATGTTAGAGATGCTGCTGAAATTAGCGGTTTGAATTAGGTACTTTGAATAGAGGACGACCGTCGCAGCCGGAAGACGAATCTAGACTGAAATGGAAGTTGGTATTTTCTATTTTTACTCCCCCCGCCACAAAGGCGATTCAGTCTCTATACATAGACCGCCCTCATCGCGGCCAGTTGTGTGTGGGGATTGGAATCGAATGCGATGTAAACAACCGACTATCGATTCTCCGAACATGTGTTGGTTGGTGCCGTATCGTAAAGAGCTACGCTGCGCTCAGTGCGCTTATCAGGAAGCCTATTGGCTACTTACCTATAACCATGCGCACTGGAAATCGATGTTTCATGGTTTCTGGACGTGGTCAGAGAGACGGCATTGATAAGAGAAATGTTAATAGGAACTCTTTCGACGATGATGATGATGACAACGGCAAGGGTCTTCGATCTTCGCTGTTATCGGTCGATTGATGATGACGACGACAGCTGTGTAGGCGAGAATGAGGTGCTGTAAAATGGTTTTGGTTTGTGCAAACAGAGAATGTCGGATGCCTATCGTGTACGGAAAAAAGTTAACGAGTTGAAGCTTTATTAGTCTTTCCTGATAATTAACAACTGTACATGTTAGAATCATTTACTCATTGACAGACCAATCGAATCAAAGCGTCCAAAATCTGTTGCATTACAAGGTGGACACCGATCATTTTCACTTTCAGGCTGTTCTCCACAGCTCTAATCCGTACCGCGTATCGATTCAGGCACGGTTGCTTCAAATCTAGACATTCATTGGCCAGTACGTTGGTTCCTTCCACTATTGTAAAGAACAACGCGAGGAGATCCTACCAACAAAACAAAGACGGTTTATTTCAAATTCAACTCTCAAAGAAGAAAGAAGAACCATACCCGATGTAGAATATGCTGAGTCTGCAGCTCAACGGCATTGTACTCATTTCTCAGATCATCTAAGGTCTGCAGCAGTTTGTTAAGCGCATTGAACAGCTCGTCCAGCATGGCGCAAAACATTACAGATCGGGCGTATTTCTGACGCCAAGTGTGTCCAATGGGAAACATCACCAGCCACACTAGGACGCCCAGGCCCTGCACACTGCTCCGTTCGGTGTAGCAGGATTCAACGGAAGTGATGATCCGTCCGAGAAGCTTTGGCATCAGTTGCCCGATGCGAAATTTCCACCGGATCGAAAATCGACAATCCAACGGTGCGGCATTGCATTGGAACCGTTGCATTACATGCGTGCGAAACTGATGTCCATTGCTGACCCGACCGTAAATAGTAAACGTTTCGTAATCCAGTTCATCCATCTGAACTTGCGGCACTTCCAACAGCAGTATTCGAATTAATGTTCTCATATAAGTAGCTTCCCTTCCTACGTTCGAGTCGTCCTCAATCAAGCGGTACACCAAGGTCCGCATAACTTCATCGTCCAGCGAAGGATTCGGTACCCATACGCATCGGGCAGAGTAGTAGACAATATTAAACAATTCATATTGGGTCTCTTCAGAATTCTTGCGGACCAGCCGTAGGCTCAGTTCCAGAATCTCCTCGGCGTTGCTAGTATAGACATGGTTCTTGCACGTATATCTCATGACCGCATTCATCAACCAAATCCCCAGCACCCGGTAGTCTCTATTTTGTCGGTCACCCATCAACCGTAATCCGAAAGTCTCCGCGAATGACAGCACCCTCGATCCTAAGTGCACGTTCGTCTTCCATTCGCTATCCACCAGAAAGCAAGACAATCGAACGAAGCTATAGACCTCACCCGGTTGGTTCTGCCAGCCCTCCGTTCCTAGCACGCACCCGTAGTGGTGGAACAACCAGCTCCGAAGTGCCGAGTTCGATTCCTTGGTCAATATACAGTCTACATCTTCTTCAAACTTCAAGAACCATGTTTCCAGCGCAAAAGGGTCATCCAGTTCCGCTTGATAGTGTGCGCGTTCGAACTGTATAGCGACTTGTTCGAAATAGATGAGCACGAAATGCTTCCGAAATTCCCCCGTAACCGGGCCCCAGTCCTGTTCGAACAGCGTTTGCCGGTGCCGTTCGAGAAAGTGCAGCAACCGAGTTAGCAAGTGCACCTGCTGCTCGGACCATGCGTACTGCAATTGTTCCAATTCGGCTGGATCGGCGGCGCTGAACCGAGGCACCTTGCATTCCTGCAGCAGCCGCAGCCCCCGGTTGACGATGCTAATCTTTCGGTCGCGAACCGTCGCCATGTTAGTCGGTGTCTTTCAAATTGTGTTTCAGCGAACCTGGTGGGAAATTATTCACATAACGTGCGTGGAATGGTTTTGATTGATTGGTAACTGCCGTACCTACCGACTGTTTGGGGGCAATTTTCCTGGTTGTTTCAACAAATTACACAAAAACACAAATCGATGATCGGTATACAGGCTGATAGAAATGAGGATGAGACCAGAACCAGAAATAAACAAAGCCGCAAACTGTCAATCGCTACCACTGATCTAGATCTTGATGCTGATAGCAGGGATGCCAGGTGTACCGTTCCGATTCAAATTTCGGACGATTCAAATTTCGGACACTTTCATTTTTAATTAAATATTACATCCAGTTAGAAACAAAGTAATAATGTTAGATGATCGTGGAGGGCACTAGTCAAAAAAAATTAAAATTTACAAGACATGTGGATCATATTCGACCGAGATAATCAACTTTTAAAAGTGTCCGAAATTCGAGTTTAAGTGTCCGAAATTTGAATCGGCACGGTATCTAGAAAAAACCTTCAACGAAATCGACAAAATGTACACGGAGAAAAATACTTCTCAAAATTTGAGTTCTTTTTACTTAATTTTGAGTTGAGTCTGTCGCTTGCACTCGTTATTGTTGTCATAAAAAAAAACGAGAGAGTGCTTTAGGCCGTTCGCAATGCTGTTCTATTTTATAAGGACTGTTTCAATTTTAAACTAGAACAGAAACGCACCACTCGCAATGCAATGCTTTCATTATTCGAGCACTATTTTGCACCAGATTTAAGCTGAGATGCGCTGATAAGACCGGTAGTTCTCTACGGGCACGAGACGTGGACGATGCTCGAGGAGGACCTGCAAGCACTGGGTGTTTTCGAACGACGAGTGCTTAGGACCATCTTTGGCGGGGTATGTGAGAACGGTGTATGGAGGCGAAGGATGAACCGCGAGCTGGCGCAACTCTGTGGCGAACCTGTGTCCAGAAAGTTGCGAAAGCTGGACGGGTACGATGGGCGGGACACTCAAACGGCCGGTACAAGACGAAGAGGAGCACAGCGAGCAAGGTGGTTAGACCAAGTGGAGCAGGATCTTGGAAGTGTGGGACGGTCAAGAAATTGGAGACAAGCAGTCACGGACCGAGTGAATTGGCGTAACATTGTGATGCAGGTGCAATCCTGAGGGATGTCGGACCAGGATAAGTAGGTAAGTAAGTTTGAACCAGATTTGCAATTGCTTGACTATTATGTTTTATTACTGAGCGGGTTTGAAGCACCAATGGAATTCTGCTTCAAATTTCTTTGGATGTTTCTCGTCAATTTTCAGAGAACATAATAATTTAATATAAATTTACGAAGAGCTTCATAGAGAATAGTAAACTTCATAGAGCTTGTATTTTTAAAAAGTTTCAGGGAGTATCATTGAAGTTCAGATAATTTCGTTTAAGTGAGAGGTATTTCAAAAAAGATCGGGGCACATCATAGAAGTTCTGGGAATTTCAACATCATGGATTTTCACAGAATTTTATGAAAGCACTTGTGTCTTTTACATCAAATACATGTCTCACTTTCTGCTTGATCGGGTATTATTCTAAAGATCTTCAACTATCCAACAATTCAAATCACGTTTATTAGATGTTCTCTCATGATATCAGGTTGCTCAGAACCTCAGAATGCGTTTAGTATGCATTTTTGGGGTACAACCGAAGTGAAAAAAAAAATGCATTTTTGGCGATGTTTGTACCGTCAAAATGGCACCCTTAACGAGTTCATAACCACTTGTAACCATTCTAGGATGGTGCATTGTCTTGTCCCGTGGGTGTAGGGAATGACAATAACGGGATCAGAATGCGTTTAGTATGCATTTTTAGGGTACAACCGAAGTGAAAAAAATGCATTTTTGGCGATTTTTGTAGCATTAAAATGACACCATTAACGAGTTCAGAACCACTTCTAACCATTCTAGGTTGGTGCATTGTCTTGTCCCGTGGGTGTAGGGAATGACAATAACGGGATCAGAATGCGTTTAGTATGCATTTTTGGGGTACAACCGAAGTGAAAAAAATGCATTTTTGGCGATTTTTGTGGCATCAAAATGGCACCCTTAACGTGTTCAGAAGTACTTGTAACCATTCTAGGATGGTGCATTGTCTTGTCCTGTGGGTGTAGGGAATGACAATAACGGGATCAGAATGCGTTTAGTATGCATTTTTGGGGTGCAACCCATGTGCAATATATGTGATTTTTGGCGATGTTTGTACCGTCAAAATGGCACCCTTAACGTGTTCAGAAGTACTTGTAACCATTCTAGGATGGTGCATTGTCTTGTCCCGTGGTTGTAGGGAATGACAATAACGGGATCAGAATGCGTTTAGTATGCATTTTTGGGGTGCAACCGAAGTGCAATATATGTGATTTTTGGCGATGTTTGTACCGTCAAAATGGCACCCTTAACGAGTTCAGAACCACTTGTAACCATTCTAGGATGGTGCATTGTGTTGTCCCGTGGGTGTAGGGAATGACAATAACGGGATCAGAATGCGTTTAGTATGCATTTTCGAGGTACAACCGAAGTGAAAAAAAAATGCATTTTTGGCGATTTTTGTAGCATCAAAATGGCACCATTAACGAGTTCAGAACCACTTCTAACCATTCTAGGATGGTGCATTGTCTTGTCCCGTGGGTGTAGGGAATGACAATAACGGGATCAGAATGCGTTTAGTATGCATTTTTGAGGTGC